TCCATCCCAACTGGGTTTTATTTAAGCCACAGCTCTTGGTGTTACAGGACTTGGACACAACCTCAGCTCCATTTACTGATTTATCAGCTGATGTGTTATAAGATGATGAAAACTGCTATCCAAGGGTTCAGGGGATGGGAACAAGGAGAACTTGAGATGTTCTGGGCACCTGGGAGAATCTTAATGATTCTTGGGGCTGCCTCCCTGCAGGGCCAGGAGCTGGACACTTCGATGGTCCTGTGGGTCCCTTCCCACTCAGGAGATTCCAAGATTCTGTGATTCTGTGTTGTTGTGTTTTATTCCTCCCATCACCAGGTGCTCAGGGCATGCTGAGGTTGCTCCTGAACCTACAGGCTCCAGGGCACCCCCAGTGAGGAATGTCACCAGAGCCCCCCTGATGTGCTGGGGGGATGTGTCTGCACAGCACTCCTGTGGCACCCCTTTGTGTATCCCCCCCTTTGTGTATCCCCCCTTTTGTGTATCCCCCCCAGCCCTTCTGCTTCCTCCTGCCCAACCAAAATAGCTCTAAATAGGAAACTGAGGGGGGCCACGCCATGAACTGGAAGGGGGAACTTCCCAGCTCCCAAAAAACCCCCCACAATGTCAGAGGAGTTTTAAGCCCTCCCGGTTCCCCATGGGCAGGCCTGGGGAAATGCTTCATGCCACCAGGGAGGAGGTATTATTAATTATTGGCTAATTAATTATTTAATGAAGTTCAACAAAGGTAAGTGTAGGGTCCTGCTCCTCCTGGTGGGGGATGACCCCAGAATAGGGTTGGGGGTGACCTATCAGGGAGCAGCTCTGCAGAGAAGGACCTTGGTGGATGATGACAAGCTGACCACAGGCCAGCCGTGTGTCCTGGGGCCAGGAGGGATCCTGGGGGGCATTGGGAAGAGTGTGGCCAGGTCAGGAAGGGGATCCTGCTCCTCTGCTCGGCCCTGGGGAGGCACATCTGGAGTGTTGTGTCCAGCTCTGGGCTCCACAGCTCGAGAAGGACAAGGAGCTGCTGGAGAGGGTCCAGCAGAGCCACAGAGATGGTGAAGGGTCTGGAGCATCTCCCTGATGAGGAAAGACTGAGGGAGCTGGGCCTGGTCAGTCTGGAGAGGAGAAGACTGAGAGGGGGTCTCATCAATCCATACAAATATTTCCAAGGGCTGTCAGAGGATGGTGCCAGACCCTTTCCAGTGGTGCCCAGAGACAGGACGAGGAGTAAACTCATAAGCTATAAACCAAAACACAAGAAGTTCCACCTCAACATGAGGAAGAATTTCTTTCCATGAGGGGTGTCAGAGCACTGGAACAGCTGCATACAAAGGTCCTAGAGAGGGAGACATTCCAAACCCACCTGGGTGTGTTCCTGCTCCAGGTGACCCTACCTTGAACTGAAGGATCTCCAAATGTCCCTTGAGGATTAAGGAGGATCCTCCTTGAACTGGAGGATCTCCAGATGTCCCTTCCAACCCCAGCTATTCTGCTGGATTCTTTGATTCTGTGAAATGCAAATTCTACTTTCAGCGTAGGCAAAGTGACCAAAACCAGCTCAGAACAGGAAAATCTCATCCCACACTGTCCCAGCCACGGATGCCCAGGGGACACCAGCCAGCTCCTGCCCACCCCAGCTCTCCATGGCTTGGCTCTGCCCAGCCACCAGCAGCAGGAGAGCGAGGCTCTGAGGCTTAATTACAATTGTTGACAGGGAAATCATGGCCACACACGCAAAATTAGAGTATAATTGTGTTAGGGAAATGTTTTGTCTTCTCCCTGTCATCCCCAGGAGAGGAGGGCAGGGGGGGAGCAGGGAGAGGGACGGTGCTGGTGGGAGGCCCAGCAGGGGAAGGGAACAGCCAGGCTTGGGGTGCTGTGGGGTGACCCCAGTCCCAGGGGCCACTGGCACAGAGAAAATGCAGCAGAAAAAGGGGAATGGCTTCTTTTTACCGAGGGGGCAGCCATGAGGCAGAGCTGCCCTTCCTGGGGAGCAGAGGGGGAGTTCATGGCACAGGCAGGGGGGTAGCATTGCTGTTGTCCCATGAGCCCAGAGCTCAGCCTTGTGCCGATTCCCAAAAGCAGCAACACCCAGTGGCCACCCCATCCATGCCCTGCATCCCTTTCCATCCCAAGCCCAGGCTGCCCTTCCCCTGGCCGGGCTCTGGGCAGGGCTGGCTGCCTGTGGGCAAGTGCCAAGGCCAACGGTGATGCCCATCCTGCCATGCCGTGGGTGGGATCCGTGTGGGATGTGCCCTGAGCAGCTGGATCCCACTCCCACAGGAATGTGCTCCTCCTGGGGGGCTGCAGAAGGCTGTGTGGGAGTGTGGTGACTGGCAGGTCCTACTGTACCTGAAGGGAACCTACAGGAAAGAGGGAGAGGGACTTTGGACAAGGGCCTGGAGGGACAGGACAAGGGGGAATGGCTTCCCACTGCCAGAGGGCAGGGTGAGATAGGATATCAACACTGTGAGGGTGGGCAGGCCCTGGCACAGGTTGCCCAGAGCAGCTGTGGCTGCCCCTGGATCCCTGGAAGTGTCCAAGGCCAGTTGGGATCAAAGGAGCAATCTGGGCTAGTGGAAGGAGTCCCTGCCCATGGCAGGGAGTTGGATCACGACGGGCTTCCAGGTGTCCTCTAGCCCAAACCATTCCATGATTCTGTGATTCCATGTGCCCTGGATCAGCACCCTGGATCCAGGGTGGACTCAGGGAGATGAGGAGAACCCCTGGCCACATCTGCAGCAGCCACACGCTCCTGCCTCTGCTCCTGCACCTGAACCAGCTATACCAGGGGCAAAGCACCATCTCTTCCCCGTGGGCTGAGGGGACCCCCAGCTCCCCAGTCCAGGCTCCTCCTGCACACATGGAATGATAAAAACCTGCTGGGGAAGTGGTGGGGGAAGCAGCTCCCAGGGCACCAGGGAATGATCCTGCCAAGCCAGCACCAGGCTCCCTCACCCCCGTGAGCCAGGCAGACGCTCCAGTCGGCACCTTTGATCCAAAGCACCTGCCAACTGCTCCGGAGCGCGGCTGCAACGGCAAACCTGGCAGGGAGAGGGGAGGAAGGTCTGCCAGGGACACGGGCAGTGGGATCACTGCACACACACAGAGGTGCTGGTGAAAGAGCTGTGGGGTGCTGGAGGGAAGGGATGGCATCCACAGGGACCCAGACAGGCTGGAGAGCTGGGATTGGGAGACCCTCATGAAGTTCAGCGAGGCCAAGTGTGAGATCCTGCACCCAATCACAACACGGGCTGGAGAGAGAATGGAGCCCTGAGCAGAAGGACTTGAGGGTGCAGGTGGATGAAAAGCTGGATGTGGGCATGGCTTGGCTGTGTGTCCTGGCACTCAGAACCCTCCATGCCCTGGGCTGATCCCACAGCAGGGGAGGGGGATTCTGCCCCTCTGCCCACTCAGCTGAGACCCCCCTGCAGAGCTGCCCCAGCCCTGGGGAACAACAGCACAGGGACGTGGAGCTGCTGGAGAGAGTCCAGAGGAGGCCACGGAGATGCTGCCAGGGCTGGAGCCCCTCTGCTCTGGAGCCAGGCTGGGAGAGCTGGGGGGGTTCACCTGGAGAAGGCTCCAGGGAGACCTGAGAGCCCCTTGCAGGGCCTAAAGGGGCTCCAGGAGAGCTGGAGAGGGACTGGGGACAAGGGATGGAGGGACAGGACACAGAGAATGGCTTCCCAGTGCCAAACGGCAGAGATAGATGGGAGATTGGGAAGGAATTTTTGGCTGTGAGGGTGGGGAGGCCCTGGCACAGGTTGCCCAGAGCAGCTGTGGCTGCCCCATCCCTGGACGTGTCCAAGGCCAGGTTGGATGGAGCTTGGAGCACCCTGGGCTGGTGGAAGGTGTCCCTGCCCATGGCAGGGGTGGCACTGGATGGGCTTTAAGGACCTGCCAACCCACGGCGCTCCGTGATGACCCCACGATGTAACCCAGGGACTCTCCATCCCCAGCCCCGCTGCACCGCACGTCCTTCCCGAGCCCGGGTCAGACCCGTCCAGGCCTCACAGCGCTCCCGGGCGACCCCAGACCCCACAGCGGGGCTGCCCCGGCCCCACACCCAGGGTGGACCCGCCGGCCCCAGCGCCGCCCAACGTGCCCAAGGCCCCCCCGAGGGGCGGCGGGGCCAGGCCGCGGCCGCCACGCAGGACCTGCCGAGCTCCGCGGCCTCTCGGCGGGGCACCCGGGGGGCCGCGGGCTGTGCCGCAGCCGCTGCCGGGCGAGATCCCGTCCTGGGACCCCGGGGGGACCCCCCAGCCCTGCCCGCCCGCCCCGCCGGGTCCGCGCCGGGAGCGGGGGAGCTGCGGGCGGCGACGAGAACCAGCGGCCACCCCCGCCCCGCCTCCGCGCTCGGTGGGCGGGGCCGGGGGCAGAGCGCGCTATCATTGGCCGCGCCGCCTGCCACTCAGAGCCGCGCGGCCTTCCCATTGGGCGGCGCCCCGCTGCTTTATCAGTCCATCGCGCGGAGCCTCCCGTGTCGTCACAGTGATCCGTTCGCCCATCCCCCTCCGCTACGAAACATAGTCCCCCCATCCTGGCGATGCCCCCGAAACCCCCGCTCCCCGTCCTGCCGGTCCCGCCGCGACGGCGCCCGCGCCGGTGCCGCGGGGCGCGTAGCGTGGCGAGGGACATCCCCCTTCCCCGCTTCTCCTCCGCCTGTGCGGGCGGCGGAGGGATACGGCGGGGGGCGGGGCGTGAGGACGCGACTCGGCCGGGCGCGGAGGGGGTCGTCAGAGGCGGGCGGGGGGGCGAGGAGGGGGGAGTGTGCGCTGCCGCCGCCGCCGCCGCGGGGGGAGACCATGCGGGGGCCGCGGGTCCGGCGGGCGGGACAGCGGCGGGAGGCGGAGCGGCGGCGGCGGCACCAGGAGCAGCAGCGGCCCCGGCGGCGTTAGGGCCCGGTTGGCGGGGCGGGGCCGCGGGGCGGTCCCGGGGCGCACGCGCCGCCCGGTGCGGGGCGATCGCGCCGCTTTTCTCGCTACATTGTATCCGCCGGCGGCGGAGAACAATAGGCGCCGCCGCCGCCGCCCCCGGCCCTGGGCGCCGCGGCCGCCCCCGCCCCCGCCGCGACCCCCGCGACCCTTCATGCGCTTCCCCTGCCCCCGGGCGCGCCGGGCCTGGAACAGGTAAAAAAAAAAACCATACCCCGAAAATAATAAAAAATTATATATATATATATTTATGTAGATTAATAAAATAATAACCGAAGCCGGCCGCGCCGCCCCCGGCGCTGCGCGGAGTGCGCGTCCCGGGGCTGCCGGCGCTGGGTGGGGGGTCCCGGGGCTGCCGCCCCCTCCCTGCCTCGCTCGGTCCGTGCGGAGCGGGACGGGACGGGACGGGCTCGGCGCTATTGTCCCCTCGGCAAAGTTTGCCGGGCCCGGGGGAAGGGGGGGCGGCAGCGGCGGGGCCGGGGTGGGGGTGTGCGGGGCGGCTGGAAGGGGGTCCGCGGGTCCCCGGCGTGCGGGGGGGGCGGGGGCCGGTCCGCGGTCCTGCTGCGAACTTCGGCAACCCCCTCGCCCCCGGGGGTCTCCGTGCCCCTTCCCGGCTCGGGAGGCTGCACAAGCCGCAGGACCCACCGCGGGGGCGGCTGCTTTGGCTTCTTTGAGCCGCCCGAGGCTGGGAGGGGGTTCGTGGGGGCCGCTGCGGCTTCCTCCGGTCTGGGTGGGGGCTGCCCGCCGTGCCCCCCCCTGCCCACGGCACGGGGGGTGCGGGTGGGGGGCCCTGACCAACTTCACCCACCGTGGGACCCCCGGCCCGGCCCGCGCCTGTCCCGGGACAGCCGAGCCTTTGTCCGGGCTGGGGAGGGGGCGCGGGGGCATCTGCGGCGGGTCCTCAGCCCCGCACCCCCGGGGCTGCTTTGGGGTTAGAAAGTGTGCGTGGGGCATAAATACAAATAAACTCCCCGGGCTGACTTTGGGTTTTGTTCAAGTTGTCCCCCCCCCGGGCGCTTTGAGGGGGCTGCAAAGTGATGCCCCCACCCCCTTGCCCGGCTTCTCCGGGGTCTCGGCTGCCCTGGCCCCACTCAAGGCACCAGGGCAGAAGGTTGGGAAAGTGGCTTTAAAAATACTGACCTGCTGCACTGATGACACTTTAAAAAAGGGCTTTGCAAAAGAAAATAAAAAAGAAAGAAGGTGGTGGGGGAGGAAAGGAATCCCCCGGCTGTTTTTTTCATAGTGGTGAAGGGTTTTTACACGCTGGGCTGATTTCAGTGTTTTTTATAAAACTTCGTTGAAACGTAGTGGCTGAGTCTACAAATGCTTTGGATCACAGAGAGTTTTCTTTTTCTTTCTTTTTTTTTTTAACCTTATGATTAATGAGTTAAATTTATTGGCCAGCTGCCCTTTGTAACCATGAATGAGTTCCTAAAAAAAAAAAAAAAAAAAAAAAAAAAAAAAAAAAAAAGGGAATCTTTTATCTCATCCCAGGCCTCTCTTCCTCCCTCCCAAAGAAATATTTTTCTATCATAGCAAGCTGGCCAAAAAGATCAATCTCCCTTTTGAAAAAAAATAATCTGTAAAATTAGGAAGAATAATATTTACCTATCTTGCAAGGTTGCCTGGAGGGCTTTATTTTTGCAAAACACTCCGAAAACAAAAATTTTTTTTGTTTCCAGTCCCTTTTGGGAGAGCAGAGAGGTTCAGTTCTCACTGAGCACAGCCTGGCTGGGCATCCCCAAACACAGTCCCTGAAAAAGCAGCTGCAGGTGCTCGGCGACCCGAAGGAAAGAGCTGTAACATCAGACTTTTTTTTTTTTTTTTTTTTTTTTTTTTTCCTTCATTTTTTTTCAAACAAAACTAGGCAAGGACAAGAGAGCCTCCTGCGGGGAGCGAGCGTGGGGGAAGGCGAGGGGGCGAGCCGAGCCAGACAAGCGCCTGAGTGATAACTTGCCTGAACCCTTTGATAAATGAGTTGACTTTTTTTTTTTCCCTTTTTCTCCCCCCCCCTCCCAATCCCTTCATTCGCCACACGCCAGGAACAGAATTGGCCCGAACTAGTGGAATTGGCAGCAAAAAACTAACATACAAGTGTGTCTGGTCAATAGAGCGCTTGTTCCTGCCGCTGGGTGCTGTGTGAGGACTCCGACTGTGCTCTCCGAGGAGAGTTGGACGCTGGGGACGCGCTGAGGGCTCCTCTTTGCTCGCCCCCTCAGCTCTGTCTTTTTAAAATATTCATCAATGGGGTGGGTAGTTTGCTCTAGTCATTAAAATATCTCTCTCCCCTCCCCCTCGCTTTCTCCAGGACTGCCACTGTTGAGTCTGTGGGAATATGAATCAGCAGCAGCAGAGAATGGCTGCAGTTGGGACAGACAAAGAGCTCAGTGACCTGCTGGACTTCAGTATGGTGAGCGAGCGCGGCCGGGGGGCTCGGCAGGCCCCGGGGCTCTGCCGGGGCTGGGAGCTGCACAGGGGAGGAAATGTGAGCCTGTAAATTGGACATGATGGGTTTCAGATGTGCCGTGTTTGTGTGCGTGCACATGTGCTGCAACTTGTTTATTTTCAAGTTAAAGCAAAGCCTCTGCCCCTCCTCTCCCCCCTCCCTCTCCCCCCCTCAAACGTGTGTTGTTTCCTCGCAGGGAGCTCAGAGAGGTTTTTTTTTCTGGATGGGAAATTTTGGGGGAATTAACGGAGTTGTGTGTTCTCTGTTTAAATGCTCACTGGGTGACTGTTTCTGCAGCCATGCAGAGATGTAACTTCAGTAGCTGATTAATCAAGCTTTTTTCCTCTCCCCAGATCCAGACTATTAAACTTTTGCTCCCACAGGTTATTTTGTCACAGTTTGAAACGTGTCCAAGCTCTCCAGCGCGTTATTTTTGCAGGAGTTGGACACTTGTGTTCCCCATGCTCCGCTCCTCTGTATCCTGGAAACCTGGAGCTGCCTTTAGAAGCTGTTTATTTTCAAAGAAACGGGACCTATAGAGTTCCCCCCGAAGGGTGGGCACAGCTCAGAGGGAGGAGAAGTCCCTTTGGTGACGGCAGAGGGGGGTCAGTCCCTGGCATGTCCCGTGTGGCGCTGCCAGCGCTGCCACCTCTCCTTGGCAGGTGACTCGTGGAGGGCAGAGCTGGTGTTGGAAAGCAAACAACTGTCTGTTGGGTTCCTCTGTTGTGTGCTGCACCCTCATGGCACTTGGAGTGTGTGCCTTGCTGTTTAGATAAGCAAACGTGCTGCAGAGATAGAAACAACAGCTCCAGGAGGAGGAATGGCCGGGGGTGTCACGGCCGTGGGCCTGGGCTGGCCTGGGTCACCCAGCCCACGGCCCTGCTGGGCTGGATTTCCTGCCCCTTGGAGAAGGGAGGGAAGGTGGTGGCAGAACTGAGGTCACCTGCAGTCCTGGTGACACCTGTGACACCTGTGGGTGTGCTGAGGCTCATCTGCTTTTCTGCCCTGAGGTTCAGCAGTGGGACATAAACCTTTTTGTACAGCGGAGGTTTGTACCTGTTGGTGCTGGTGGGGAGGGTCTCTCAGCCCTCACAAGAGCAATTCTCCTGCTGGAGAGGCCCAGTTCTCCCAGCTTCACCCCTCTGTTGGGAGGCTGGTTCTGTGAATTCACCAGTGGTGGAACTTTTGCAGTGGGGTGTTTTACAGGGGCTGCAGTGAGAGTATCCCTGTAAAACCAGGAATCAGGTCAGGGCTTGCTGGGGAGCAGTGTGTGGTTGTTTGTCCCTCTCAGAGGTCCTGCAGGTTGGCAGGAGCCCTGGGGCTTTCCATCCCCTGCACTGGGAGTTTTGAACTGCACTTTGGGTCAGTAACCCAGAATCTGCTCCTTGGCTGGGGCTGCTTTGCTTTTTCTCCCCCTTGGAAAAAAATCCAACCCCACTCACCATTTAGAGCTTCAAAAAAACCCCAAAAACCCAAGACCTTTTCAAACCTAACGAACCATCCTCATTTGCATGCTCAGATCTGTATTCCCTGGAGGGGTCCTGACCTGTCCCCTCTGTACACAAATGTTCCTGTCCTTGAAGATGAATCCACTCCAAATCTGGGTTTGGATTCAATGCTTTTACACTGGTGCAAACCTGGGAAGGACCAGGACTCGTCCTGTGTTGGGGTAAGGCTCGTCCAGCAGCGCCGGGGGCGGCTGCTCTTGCAGCATCAGGGCCTGCAAATGTCATTTGCCAGCAAATGATTCGGAGACATTCCCTCCAGGATCAGTTGGCCGATGGGCTCCGACGCAGCCTGGCCCGGAGCCAGCTCTGTTTCACAAACCCTCATCTCCACACACCCTTCTCCCGAGTTTGCATAAAGGGAATGTTAACATCTCTCCTCCAGGACGAGTAGCTGAAGTGGAAAAGCTTCCTAGACTGTCCATGGTGGGTCTGTCAAAGAGGCTCCCCCAGGATTCGCTCTTTCTGTGTCCTTGGGATGCGGGATTTTTGTCCACAAAGCTCCCCCTTCCAAGTATATTTATATTTTAATTTGAATAAACAGGAGTGGAGCATCAGTTCTGCAGTCCTCTCCAGGAGAGGAGATGGGAGGGAAATCTAGAGATATTCAGAGCAGCTGGAAGCATTTGCTCCAGATCAGTATTTGGATTGCTTTTTTTCTAGGGAAAATGTGCTCAGCCCCAGTAGCCTGTGGTCCAGCCCTGCGCTGTGGGAATTTTGAGATTTGGCCATAATGGGTTTGCATGGTCTGCCCTGAGTTCCTGGGCCATTAAATGCCAGGGTTGTGTGAGATGCTATAAGTTGGACTTACAGTCCTGTTAATAAATAATACCATTGCATAGATCCTGAGCTGCCCCAGAGCTTTGTGCCAGTGCAATTTGCCAAGAGGGCAAAACCCAAGGGATGTTCTGTAAGTGAGCTGGAACCAAAGGCCCAGCAATGCAGCCTCGTGGCTGCTTTGGGGTGTGCATGGCAGCACGCTTCCCTCTACCCTTGAACAAATTGCCTTTTATGATTGCCCCAAAGTGCAGGTAATTTGTAAGCTTGCCTTCACCGCTGCTCCCTGGCAGCCGGCCAGGACGGGCTGGCAAATCTGGAGAAGAGCTTTCCAGAAAGCATCCTGCACATACACCCGAGTGGGCAGCTCAGCCCATTGGTTAGGCTGGGCTTTGGGGGCTGCCAGGCTTTGCAGGTCAGTCTGGCAGGTGCAGGAGCTGCCCTTGGCCTGTGCTTGTGGGAGATGATGGATCGTGAGGACTTGGATGTTAAGGAATGGTTCTTCCCCCAGAGGGTGGTGGGCACTGCCCAGGCTCCCCAGGGCAGTGGGCACAGCCCCAAGGCTGCCAGAGCTCCAGGAGCGTTTGGACAACGCTCTGAGGGACAGGGGGGGATTGTTGGGGTGTCCTGGGCAGGACCAGGAGTTGGGCTGGATGAGCCCTGTGGGTCCCTCCCAGCTCGGGACATTCTACTATTCTGTGACTTGTGGTTGTTGGTTATCCCAGGCAGTGTGCCATCTCTGCCAGTGCTGGTGCGCTGTGGGAAGGTGTGGGTGGGTATCCTGGCTGGGCTGGGATGCTCCAAGGGCAGGGGCACCCCCGGGCACGGCCGAGCTGGGGCAGAGCAGCCCCAGGAGGGTCTGTCGGTGCCGCCGAGCGCCTGCGGAGCCGGAGAGCGGCAGCGGCTCGGTGCCAGCCGGGGGCTCTGGCAGGAGCGAGATGCTGTTAACAGCCATGATTATTAGCAGAGTATTAACCATATGCTGCGGGGAGGCTGCTGTCAGAGGGGGTTTCTGGCTCGATGAGACGGTGCAGGGTGGGCAGGGGCCTGAGCAGTCGCACAGGACCTGCCAGTTCATTTCCCCACACGCGGCTGCTCCCGCCGCGCTCCGGCCCCCGTGGCTTCAGCCGTGGAACCGGGGTAGGAATGCCTGACTGTTGGCAGCAAGCAGGGCTCGAGCAGCTCCTCCTGCCCTGCTGGAGGATGCTGAAGCTGTGCCCTGCTCCAACCAAGGCCCAGTGCCTGCCTTTCCATGATAAACCTCTCACTTTTGTTCAGAGGGGAGCAGTTGTAAAGTTCGACTTCACGCCGCAGTGGGCGTTTGGGGCCGTAGTCAGGAAGGTCTGTCTTAAGTGAACACATATAAAATGTCCTGCTGGCAGTGGTTTTTGAGCCGAATTCCCTCTTCTCCCCAGATTAACAGCTGGATACTTTCCACGCTGCAAAACAGATTTCAGGTTTGGAGTTCAGGCTTGAGGTTGGGTCAGCCTGGAGTTCAAGAGGTGGGAGAGGGGAGAAAATGAAAACTGATTGAATTTGAGAAGCGATGCGCTGGTAGCAGTGCACAGTAAATGAAATGCTTCTTGATGTTCCTTGTGTCTGGCAAATTCTCTTTCTTGCCTATGAGTTTGCTCATGTTGAGAGTTTGGGGTGTCTTGGCTATAACCTCCCTGGGGGAAGGGTGCAGGCGTTTGGATCCTGCCACGTGCTGGATTTGCCCCGGGAGAAGTGGATGGAGAATAAATCCTTTGGGAGGGGTGGAAATTGAGCTACAAGGGTATGCAGAAGTTGTCAGCTCTCAGGGAGGCTGGAGGTAGGACCTGAGAAACCAAATACAGCGACTTAAGATGGGGGATTTTACATAACCGTTTCAATCTACATTATTCAAATCTAACAAAGGCCGAGTAATGACCCAATTACAACCCTTGAGAGCTCCTGTCTGGGTCCCTCCTCAGTGCCTGGGTCCCTCTGTAGGTGCCAGCTCTGGTTCATCTCCTCCCTGCCCCCCCCTCCTCCCGTTTATTTTTAAAGCAGCATTTTAAAAGCAGAAAGGAAATTTGCAGTGGGTGGATGAACTTTGCCTGTGAGCGACACGCGCCAGCGAGGGCAGGCGCCACTTCACGTATGACTTGTGCTGGCTCCTCGGGGCTGCAGCCCACACCACAGTGGAAAAAGGAGCTGGGAGCAAGAAAAAAACCACCCCAAAACACTTCCTGGGGCTGCCAAGTGATAAATGTGGAGGGGTAACCCGGGGTTCCCCCCTGCTCCATCACCCTGCTTTGAGGGCTGGAGCTGTGCCAGGGGGGTTGGGAAGGATCTCAGGGAAAGGTTCTTCCCCCAGAGGGTGGTGGGCACTGCCCAGGCTCCCCAGGGCAGTGGGCACGGCCCCAAGGCTGCCAGAGCTCCAGGAGCGTTTGGACAACGCTCTGAGGGACAGGGGGGATTGTTGGGGTGTCCTGGGCCAGGAGTTGGCATGGATGATCCCTGTGGGTTCCTCCCAACTCCCAATTCCATGATTCTGTGCCTTGGCATCCCCACTTGCCCTGGTGCAGGAAGGGGTCTGTGACTCCTAAATCCCTTGTGGGGAGGGAGAGCAGGAAGGTGTTGCATCAGCCTCAAAACACCTCTGAAAGCAGGTGGAGGAGGGGAGGGAATCCCCGGGGATGTGGGGGTGTTTTGGGGACATGGGGGGTGATGGGGATCACCAGGGGGTGGGGGGGACCCACCTCCTGTTCTGCAGAAGCAGAAGGCTCTGGGTGCAGAGTGGAACAAGGCTGTTCATTTTCTCCACTCGTGTTTGGTGCTCAAACCTTGGGTTTTTCAGCCTCAGCAAGTGCTGAGCAGAAATGCTCATGAAAAGGAGCCAGCGGTGCCTTGGGGTTTAATTTTTTTTTTATTTCTATTTCTTTTTTTTCTATTTCTATTTTTTTTTTATTTTTATTTCTTTTTTTGGGTGCCTGGGTTCATCGTGCATCCCTTCCCCCCATGCTTGCACATACAGACCTGCCCCTTGGAAAGGGGGATTTCTAAGCACTTCATCCTCTTCCCTACCTTAAGAGCAGGGAGTGAGCACAGGCCGGGTGGGATCAGCCCCGTAAATTCCAGTAGTTTTTTGGAGGTCTTTGCAGAAACCACCCCCTGCCCTGCAAGGGAAGCCCTTGCAGCAGTGCAGGGAGGAAGGCTGGCCGCAACCTTCGGTGTGTCAGGGTTTGTTTTTATTTTCTAGCCCAACTTCCTGAGGAAACAAGTGCCATCTGACGGTGGGGCTGCTGGGCCGCCCCAAATCCCTCTGGAGCCCCTCGGGTGGGCAGCAGGGGCTCCCTTCTTGGGGCACCTCCACAGTGGGGGCTCCGTGGGCAGCCAGGTGTGGGCAGGTGCTGGCAGCAGTGCCAGGATGCTTAAACACTGTTTACCCCTTTATTTAAATCCATATACAGAACATCTACACACCCCGTGCATGCATATACATGATCCCAAATTTGTGCTCTTTATGAATGGCAGTTGGTTCCTTAACTGCTTTCTTTGCATCTCCACCACATTTTAACTGGTTTTTGTTGGGTTTTTTTGTGTTGTGTTTTTCTTTTTTTTTTTTTTCTCCCCAGCATTTGTGAAAACAAAGCTGGGCAGACGGCTCTGCACAAAGGAATGTTTCTGACCACAGCCAGACATCAGCTATGTCAGGGCATGAAACGCTGCCTTTCTGTAGGCTCTTGTGCCATTACATTGTTTAATCTTCAAAGCATTAAAACTTTTGAGTTACTCAGACATTACAAAGCTAAAAATAATAAAAATTCAAATGACTTGGTGGTGAAAGTATCTTGAGTAGAAAAAGGATATTAAAATGTTAATTCACTAAACGTTTTCCCACCGGTTGTTTTATTGGCTGGAGCTCCATTTGTGTGGAGGGGAATTAGTTTTCTTTTCTGCTGCACGCAGGTGCATGTAAATTATTAAATAACAGCTTCTGAAACTCTCCCAACTTTTATTAAAAATATTTATACAGGTTAGGTGACGAGGTGTGCAGTATTTTTGAGGAAGCTCCTGGCAGGAGGAACTCAGTTGTGATACTGGAGCTGCAGCAATAGAGCAAACAAGTCCCCAGAGCGACTAATACCCTAAAACAGGTTGATTTTTGAAACCTTTGCCCTTGGAGTAGCTTCTCCCCCCCAGACCCCGAGGCTGGGCTGGGTCCTGGGGCTGCTGGACCCCCGAAGCAGCGGGGTGGGAGCTGTTCTGGGGGGTGGGAACTGCTCTGGGGGGTGGGAGGGCTCATCCCGCGGAGCTGGCGCCGAGGTCGGGCATCGTCGGCTCCCGGGGCTGAGTCATCTCTGCCTGTGCCAACCAGACCCACGGGCAGCCCACGTCCTGCCCAGGCACTGTGTGTGTCCAGAGAGACTGGGAGCTGGGCTGGGGAGGGATGAGATGAGCTTTTTTGGGGTGCTGCAGTGCCGTTATCCTGCTGGGTGTTTGTGAATGGGAGGGCCTCGGTGAGCAAGTTAGGGAAGAAGCTGCTGGGTTTGACCACAGCAGTGATGCTCCTTGGCAGGTTTTTAGTTGCACCCAAGGAGGCAGGCACGCTGTGGACACAGGAGCATCACAGAATCACAGGGTAGGCTGAGTTGGACCCACGAGGATCATCGAGTCCAGCTCCTGTCCCTGCTCAGGACCATCCCCAGGAGTCACACCGTGTGCCTGGGAGCATTGTCCAAACGCTTCTTGAGCTCTGGCCTGGTGCTGTGAGCCCTTCTCTGTGGTCAGGTTGTGTGTGTTAGTGCAGAGCTGCTCTGCTGCCCCTGCTGCAGCTGATGGATGGAGCAGGGACACAGGGAGAGGGAAGTTTTTTGCATCAGTAAAGTGCTCCTCTTCCCCCTTTCCTCCCCCAATCTGACCCCTTTGCAGCAGCACAGTAAAACTAACAGACTGAAATCTCTTTTCTCTTCCCTTCTCTCTCATCTTCTTGTTTTTCTAGATGTTTCCCCTGCCAGTGGCTAATGGAAAAAACAGACCCACGACCCTAGCGAGCACTCAGTTTGGAGGATCAGGTACTGTCATCTTACTTTTTTTTTCTTTTCTCCCTAAATACCATAACGATTCTCGCCATAAATTTGTGTTTGGTTCCAGAGACACTGAAGGAGGGGTTGGTGTAGTTTTGTTATGTGTTTTTCTGGTGATGGAAATCTGCTGCTGTTTCTCTGGGTGATTTTCTTGTTGCTTCGTGTGTCTCCCGGTGGGCAAAGCTGCTCTTGCTGATCTGTCTCACGTTAAGAAGTTGCTGCCTGAGCTGGAGATTGTTGTCCCACCACTCCAGGATCCTGGGAGCAGACAATCAGGACTGTTCTCTAAGCTGCTTAGACGTGTCTGCACTGCCCTGGAAGACTTTTGCTGCCCCTTTTTTTGAAGACATTGTGATGGTTCATTCCTGGGGCTCTGGTGCAGTTTGGGCTCCTCACAGTCCCTCCAGAGGCTCCCTGGTTGGGATCTCGGCATTCCCAAAGGGATCTTGTGAAGCCCTCCTGGCTGGATGCTTCCAGGGTGCCAAGAGGGGGCCAGGGGTGCCAACACCCAAGGGCTTTGGGAGCAGGGCAGCTCTGGGGAGGAGGGGGCAGGCGATCTGGGTGTGACAGGAGACTCTGCAGGGTGTGTGGCTTCAGGTGTCTGATGGGAAATGTGCTGCTCCTGGCTTTGAGGCTGAAGTGGAGAATTCCTGGGCAGTGCTGTGCTGGGTTTTTGATGCCTGAGGAAGCTGCTCTGTGTGGGGCTCACACGGCCCCTGGCACGTGGGAGGTTCGTTCATCTGCCCTTCTTGCTGAACACCTTGTGGATGGTTAAAACTCAACCATCTCTACCATGGGCCAACTCCAGCTGTCCAGGGAAACCCCTGGTCACATGGAACAGGCATGCTGTGACATCCTGGAGGTTTCTGGAGAGCACCTTTGATGCCCCACAGTGTGTTGTGGGGCACTGGGGAACCTGCAGCAGCAGGATGGGGGGCCCTGCCCTGCCCTGCCCTGCCTTGCTCGTGCCCTCTTTGACCAGGGAAATGTGCTGCTTTGGGGTTGAGCTGCTTAGCTGCATGTCAAGATGGTTTTGAGCAAACACTTTTCCAGGGAGGGAAGCTGTTGAGTGGGCTGGAGGAAACTGGAGGGGGGAAAACTCTCGGGTTAACCCAGATGGAAGCCGAGCTCTCCAGCGAGCGTTCCTTGCGCGACTTCTGCTGTTAAAATAATCCACAAAAGACGTGCTCCACGCTGCGGGGGGACAAGAGCAACGGCATTCATGTGCTTCCTGCTCAGAGCCTGGCCTGGCTGCCGGGCCTGTGGTGCTGGCCAGGAGCAGAGGCACAGCCGGACCCCCCCGCTTGGCTCGGCAGCCGCCAGAACGACACCGAATCTTTGAATGTCCCTCCCTCCCCTCCTCCCCTTCTTTTCTTTCGGGTGAGTGAAAGGTAACGTTGACACCACCCTTCCTCTGGGCTGCTGCTCTCTGAGGCTGCCTGCGAGCAGCTCCTGGGAGCAGAGCGCTGGTGTTATACAACGGCGCTGGAGGACGTTGCACAATCCCCGCTGTCCCGCTCGTGGACTCTGCCAAGGCTCCCTCGTCCTGCCATGAGCATCCTGGGGTGGGAATTCGGCTCGGGGAAGGGTTTTGCTCCAGCAGCAGAGTTATCCCTCGGACAGCCGTCCTTGGCCTCTCCTCAGAGCGGGGGACACGTTCCATTTGTGCGTTGGCTTTGTGGCTTCTCGCTGTGCCTGAGTCTTTGGCTCTTTGCTGGTGGGATGAATAGTGCAGGGAGGCATCAGTGAGATGCTCCATGCACAGGGCTGTGCTCTGCTTGGTAGAAGGATCTGAAGAGTCTAAGCGAGGTCCTAGATAGTGGCAAGTGGTTGTTTTCACAGTTTGTTGATGTTCTGGCTTTGTTCACTAATAGTCAGCAAGGTGCAATCAGGTGCTGGTTAGAATCATAAAATCATGGAGTTCCACCCCCTGCCATGCCTTCCAGTACATCAGGTTGCTCCAAGCCCAGTCCAGCCTGGCCCTGATCATCCCCAAAGGCAGTTCATCCCCAAAGGCAGTTCATCCTCAAAGACATACCCAGCCAGCCAGCTCAAAATTTGATTTGAAGTCAAACCTTCACGAACCCTGCTGTGGTCAGAGGGTGAAAAGCAGATGGTCCTTGGATTTGGGGACCTGGCCTTACTGAGGGAGCAGAGTGTCTCGCAGCCAAGCCATAATCTGGACCTGGAGATTAGCTCCCTAAGTCTTGCCATGCAGCAAGGCCAAGGCTTCATCTTTAATGTGCCTCATGTGTTTCGAGCCCTCCTGCTCAGTCAGGGCCAGGCCACCAATAAAGGCAGAGCAGCATTTCCCCTCCACTGCCACCTCTGCCCAGAAAGGAGAAGCAAACACTGATTTGTGTAAGTCTGAGCTCAGTGCTGTGCACCCCAGTGCCAGGGTCTCATCCTTTGTGCTCATTATACTGGGCCCAGAATAATAAACTGGTGTTGTCCTGCGTGCCAGAAAAATTGGTGTGTCATTCCCTCTGTCCACACAGGATGGGATCCCATCACTGGGTTGATGGCATTGGGGCTGGACATGGGAATTCATGGCTCCCACTCTCCACCCCCTCCTGGTGGAAACCCTGGAGCAGTGTGTAGCTTTTCTGACTTTTCCCCTCCAGAGGAGCTGTTACCTCGAGGTTCTTTTCTCCCCAGGGCAGGTGAGGAGTGAAGAGAGCAAGGCACTGACTGATCACTCCCCTCCAAAACTTGCCAAAGTGAGGTTCTTGCTTCCAAAGCCCAACTGGTAAATATGATTCTGATTACTGCCCTGCCCAAGCTGCCCGTGGCCCTTTGGCCAAAGGGGAACCTGTTATCCCCTCCCAGGCCAGAAAAACCCAAATTGTTCGTGCAAACCCCCCAGCCTCGAGGTCCCTTCGCTCTCCCATTTGCCTCCTGCTTTTATTTTAAGCTCTTGCCACCGTTTCCCTCGTCTCTGTCCTCAAATGCCCCGGGGAGGAACTGCTTTCGCTCCCCCGCCGCACGGACAATTCAGCACCTCCGCTCTGCCTTTTCTTGGCAAGGAGAAACCCAACAATTGCCACGAGGATGGAGCTGACGTCACGCAGCCCGTGTCTGCGGCATTTATAGCACATATAGGTCACGGTGGGAAGTTGGTCTTCCTGGGGCTTGGAGCTGCAAGCCCGTGTTTTCCAGCCCAGGCCCTGGGGCGTTCAGGGTTTTATTTTGGCCGGGTCACCCCCCCTTGGCCCGTTGTGCCTCTTGTCCTGCCCTCAGAGGCAGCGGTTGTGCCGGCCCCTCCCCGAGCTGTTTGTTGTTTGCAGTAGCAAAAAAAGTCGTAAAGGATTCATCTGAGTGGCACCCATCGCCCTCCTCAAAGCTGCCTCGGGCAGGATTTCGGGATTTCGCCTGGAAGTGACCGCTTGGGTGGACGTGGGGACAGCAGGAGTGTCAGGAGGCAGCGAGGTCAGGCTGTGCTGGGGTGGCTGCTGAGCTTTGGCAGGGTTGGTGTGGGCAAGGCTGAGCCTTCGCCCCAGCGAAGGAGTTTGGGCTCCGCGGGGCAGGGGGATAAACCCAAGGCACGAAGCTGTGCGAGTGAACTCATCTCCTGCAGCAGCACAGGAGCAGCACTTCCAGCTGGGGGTAGTGTGGAGGGCGTTCAGCCATCTCACTCCACAGCCCAAATGGTGTGGGGTGCCAGGACTGGGTCCTGTTGGAACAGGAGCCCACAGGTCTTCTGCTCACAGACAGCAGATAAAACCTCTGCTGAAAAATAGGGGGGTTTTGCCTTTTAAGTAAGCTAATTCACCATTAAATGCCTTTTTCTTCTTGCTTTGTGCCCAAGTGAGCTCCTTTGCTTGGGCTCTCTGATGGCTTTGGGGTAGAGTCCCCTCCTGGCCTGTGCTGTGATTCCCACCCCCAAAATTTGTTGTGTCCTTTCTTGCTCGTGAGCTGAGGCTGCTCGTGGGGGAATTGCTTTGATCGGGGGAAGTTCATCACGTACATTTGAAGCTGGCTGAGCAGGGAGTTTTTCAAAGAGTTACAAGCTGGTGCATGTAACAAATTTTAAGTTATAGTCTGGTGAACAAAGCAAATGGATTCTCCCCGGAGGGAGGCGAGCCCAGATCCCCTTTGAAAGGCGCTTTAAACAACGCTCAAACTTGGATACCTGTGGCAACAGCACTGAAAGTCATAAATTCTCTGAAAGCTGGGGTTGTCTCTGTAAATTGGTGCTGTGGGGGAGCTGTTTGAAGGTTTAATTAGTTACTGTGTGCAGGCAGCCCTGCGTTAGGAAGCCCCGAGCGGGCCGGGCAGGATCTGGTGCCCTGGTGGGAGCAGGATGGTGCTGGGCTCCACTCTGCTCCTGGGGCTGGGGGGGGCTGGCAGTGAAACCATGGAAGGTGGGGCTGGGAAGAGCCAAGCACAGCCTTCCTGTTGCCATGCTGTCAGCAGCCGAGTCTCGGGCTGCAGAAACCCGTTTGCAACCGTTTTCCATAGTGAGGAAAAGCGGGAGCTTTTATTAGCAAGGCTGTATCACGTTTTCCTACAAACTGCCTCGAGTTCCCACGTGTTTTGCTTGTGCTGAGGTGGGGAGTGCTGGGCTCCACTTGCTATTTTGGTGGATGATGAGAGGCAGACGTGGAGTGTGCAGTAGATGGGGCTTGGTGTTTCGAGCTGGCACTTCCCGTGGCAGTCCAGGCTCGGTGTTCGCATGGGGGGCGCGCGTGGGACGGTCCAGCTGCCACCAAACACAGAGCCACCACCACAAAAGAGGGCAGAGCAGGAAAGTTCACTCGCCAGCCCCTTGGTGTGACCATTTCAGCTTCAAAGGAAATGTTGCTGTTGAGCAGTTATCAAAGGAAATCAAAGGAGAGCTGGGGCTGTTCAGACAGGAGCAGAGAAGGATACAGGGAGACCCTGGAGCCTCTTCCAGCACCTGAAGGGGCTCCAGGAGAGCTGGAGAGGGACTTTGGACAAGGGGTGGAGGCACAGGACAAGGGGAATGACTTTAAGCTGAAGGAGGG